GAGATCCTGGGCAGAGTGGGAGAATAATGTGGAACAAAACCTACAATCATTTAAAAAAAAAAAAAGAAAGAAAGAAAGGAAAAGACCAGGTTTATTTATCTGATAGTCCCTGGAGAGATCCCGAAGACTGTGGCCCCTAGTTACCCTTCAGATCTGGAACTGAACTCACTCCTGTGGCTTCCAGCCAAACAATGTTGTTGTTGTTGTTATGTGCCGTCTAGTCGGACCCGACTCATAGAGATCCCTCCTTGGGTTTCTGAGGCAGTATCACTACGGAAATAGATTGCTCCATCTTCCTTCTGAGGAGTGGGTTTGAACCACCAGCCTTCTGGTTAGCAGTCAAGTGCTTTAGGCACTATGCTACCAGAGCTCCCAGCCAAACAATAGACAAGCATATAGGATGAACATTTACATCAGGTAAATACAGTCCTTGGAGTGATCAATCATGGAAGAACATAAGGGCAGTTTGCACAGGGAAATAGCTTAAGGGGTGGGAATACATAGGAAAGGACACATGGAAGAGGTAACTATAGGGAGGAAGTGGGAAGGGAGCTGTTACATTGTGGAGAATTGCAGTCAATATCATGAAACAAAATGTGTATGAAATGCTGTATGGAAAATTAATTTGCTCTGTAAATTTTCACACAAATCACAATAAAAATTTAAAAAACAAACAAACCTTATGGAGCACAACTGTACTGTGACACACATGAAGTTGCCATGAGTCAGAATCAACTCAATAACAAGTGGGTTTATCGTGGGTGGAAAAGAAAAGCAGGTTGCCTACCAGGTTTCTTCCATTCCTGCAAGGCAATGGCATTTATGCTTCATAAAGCCTTTTTAATTTTCTTTTCAAAATTCTTCAGTGCACAGAAAAAACTAGAAAACTGGTTTCCTAATCTCTGTGTACCCCATCTGCCAGCCACTGTCAGGAAATTCAGGAGCAGACTGGGTTAGAGATTTCTAAAATAAACATGACAAAGGGGGATCCTTCAAGAAAAGGAAAATGGGGTGCTTAACAAGTGACCCTGCTGCTGTGAATCTTAGTCTCAACCACAAAATGAATGGAACTGCATGGAACAGATAGTTGCTCTTACCTGTCTGTGAAGTTCTGCTTGTTCCCATATAGCCACTACTAGAGGATGTGTTGCTGTCACAAAGATCAACAGATGTAGACTAAAATGGGCAAACAAAATAAAGTTTTATATTTATGATACTAGATTTATTAGTCATAAACAAAAAAAAACTATCACAACATAAAAACAGTATCACATTATAAATCATTAGATTACCATGAGCTAGGAAAGGGAAACATTAACAGATAAACCCTATGAGAAGAAAGAAGAGATTTCCAATTCTAGAAAAAAAAAAGGGTAAGACCAAGCTATTGTTTTTCCCATTCATCAAATTTTTATTTTAGTACCAACTCTGAGTGTTAGACAAAGATAGTGTTAGACACTGGGGGTATAAAGAAGAAGAGTTGACATCCCTGAGCCAGGGATCTCTTGGTTCCAATGGCATGAACTTAGTGTTTCAAGGCCCATGGACATGGGGCCTGTGTACATATCTGAACATCTGAATACATCTGTGGCAAGAAAATAAATGGAGGCCAGGGGGCCTGAGCCATCGGTTCAGATGATAACTCCCTGAGTCAAATGGGCCAAAATTGGCTCTCATGAGGAGAACCATTATTATCTTCTTTTTACACAGTAACTACTTCTTGTTCAAGATGTTATAATATCTTGATCTGCTATAAAGTGAGTAAAGTTGAGAGAAGACTGCTTTATAATCAAAAAGGAATAATGACCACAAAACTACTTACTCTGAGTTCTTTTGGGTTTAAAAAGTTGCTTCAAATAACAAGAATATGCAGTTGTAACATTACTCAAAAATTGCTTATTTGCAGGTCAGTTCAATCTAGTTGCCTAATCCAACAAGAATCCCAACCCATGGTGGTTGCTCAAGAAACAGTGCTTGAACCTAAACTGAAACTGTTTGAGATCATATGTTTTTACAGATTAATTAGATTATAGCTACATAGTCATATTTTGTAAGGTATGTCAGTTTTTACCAGGCAATGAAACCAAATAAAGTAATCAAAACTCAGGAAATAGAAAATAATGACAAGCTTGCCTTCAATTTCTGTCCTCTTCATTAGCTAATATATCAACATGAATACCTTACTCAAATAAGATCCTTAGAAGAAAATAATGTGAGAAACCTTGGGGAAAGAATCAAAGTTGAGAGAGAAGATAGCACACTACCGCCTCGCAGAAAAGTAAGAGAGAAAAGCAAAGGCAGGAATTATATGGGCTAGAG